CGTATCAGCGTCTAGATCTTTTTTTTTATTTATGAGACATTTTGTGCTGCTTTCATGAGATGAGCTGAGAATGAAGCGATGGTTAGCAACGATTGATAGATATGGTGGGATATGGAGATAATTCATCCGGACATCCCTGTATTACACTGTTTTCGGATTGAATTGGTACCCCCCCCTACTGTGGAGAACGGAGAAAACACAAGCTTTCCAGACGATCCTCTAGATGTCACCAATTCAATTCGAAAACAGTGTAACAGGATAGCGCGCACCGCGGATTTCAGGCTTCCTGGAGGCATTCTCTCCTCAGACCTGTTCGAGATGGTTCGAGGAACTCCAGATAGGCCTAACGTTCCACGTCCCACTGAAATGGTTCATGAAACGCGAAACAGACCTCAAATCGGTCTAATGTTACATGTCCTCTCTGAAATGGTTCGTGAAAGTATGAATAGGCCTGCGATTGGCCTAACGTTACACGTCCTAAACGAGATGTCTCGAGGGCCACGGATTCACCCCTATAGGGCTAATGGACCTCGTAAGTAAAAAATTGCCATTGAAAATTTGGTTTCACATATAGAAAAAAGATTTGATATTAATAATACGAAGTCACAGCTCTTTGTCTCTCACGATCACGGTCGACCTTAAAAAGACCGGACTCTTTCTCCCCAAAGGATCCGCGATGGAAGCCCCCCGCTTCGTGCTGGAGCCCCCATCAACGCTGTCCTTCACCAACTCCTCGGGGGCGGAGCTGAGCTGCATCGCCACGGGGAGCCCGTCGCCGCGACTCAGATGGCTGGGGAGGGATGGACATCCGGTTCTTGGCATTCCGGGTGAGGGGGAGAAATTCCATTTCGTATTTTTGAATTCTGCTGTCCTGGGGACGTAAAGTGTGAAATATGTCCGGGATCGCCGGGTTTATGGGAGGTCAAATATCCTTTTTTATTTTTTATTACCCACCTCGTACATCACTCTCTGGGGAGGTGCTTTCACGTCCTCCTTCCCCCTCCAATCCCCTCCAGGGATCCTGAAGGTATTGGAGAACGGGACGATGCTCCTCCACCCTTTCTCGGCGGAGCAGTTCCGCGCGGAGATCCACCGCGGGACCTTCCAGTGCAGTGCCTCCAACCCCGCCGGCACGGTCCTCAGCAGGGAAACGCGGCTCAGAGCCGGTACGATCCTCTCTTTCTAGAGCCGGGAATGCGATCGAAAGCGACTGAAATGTATCATTCATTACTTTCAGGAGTGATTCGTGCATTGCCGACTTCGTGAATGAATTATGAAATTTTGCAATATATTCGAATGAGAGCATTATTTTGTACTATATTATTGCTGTTGTGTTAAAGTCAGTATCACAATATCAATTTCATAAAATAAAATAAATATCATAGCATCATTACATTGCTACAAGTATATTATTATTATTGTACCATATATAATATTTTTATCATTCCATATTTCTTCCGTACCGATTCCCCTACCAGTGGTCCACCACCCATACGAAGTTCGGGTGGGTGACGAATCCGTGACGGTGGGCAACACCGCCGTCTTCCGCTGCCTCCTCCCGTCGTACGTGGAGGATGACGTCACCGTCACTTCGTGGTTCCTGGGATCGAAACACAACATCTACCCTCAGGAGGAGGGAGGAGGTAATTTCCGAGTCCGTGATGAGGGTTTAATTGGAGTCTATGATTAACATACCCCGAATGCAGAATTGATGCCAGTATGGAAATTGGGTTAACTCATTCCACGCGATGAAATTCGGAGCATCGATCGACGGTCAGACGAGGAAATTCTGTTTCAGGCGAGAAGTATCACATGCTGCCGTCGGGGGAGCTGCTGATCCACGAAGTGACGAAGGAAGACAACGGGACGTGGGTGGGTTGCAGGACGGCCTCGAAATTGGAAGGCCATTCCGTGTCGGCTTCGACCATGGCACGGTTGCTCGTTAGAGGTTTGTTTGCCTTTTTTGTTCGGTTGCAGGAGGATTTTTTGGGGTAACGAGATTTTGCGAGTGTACGGAGTGAGTTACGGTTGGGTTTTTCCCGAAGGTCTCAGGGGGGAAGGATTCTCTGACTGGATGCATTTTGCATGTGGAATTCGAGCAGGAGTCGGGTCGGGGAAGATTTCCCGTAATCCGGTATCCCTTGCATTGCAGAGGAGGCGAGGCCGATCCCTCCGAGATTGGTTCACCTGCCGAGGCAGGTAGAGGCGAGGAAGGATTCATCTTGTCTGCTGACTTGCGTTGCTCATGGGAATCCGCCGCCGCAGGCCAGGTCGGTTGGTGCCTTGAGGGTCGGTCGATTCGGGGTTCTCGGGTTTTCTATGTTTTTTTTATGGTTGCAGCGTGAGGAGGAAGTTGGGGAATTCGGTTTGGGACGTGCCGGTTCGGGATGGATTGCTGGTGAAGAGGGTGGAGGAAGCGGATTCCACGCCGAATGCGTTCGAGTGCGTGGCGAGGAATCGACACGGAGAGGCGAGGCAGAGTCTGACCATCGGGGTGAGGGCGCCGCTGTCGGCGCACGTGCAGCCGAGGATGCCCGTGGTGGATCTGAGGGAGAAGGCGACGCTGGTGTGCGGGGTCGTGGGGATGCCGACGCCGGAGATCCACTGGGTCAAGGACGGGAGGGCGGTCGGGAGGGCGACGGGGAGGGAGGACGGAGGTCAGCGTCTGCTAATGGACGACGGAGGGCAGCGTCTGCAGGTGGAAGACGGAGGGAGGAGGCTCGTCGTTCCGAGGATGAGGGAGGAAGATGCGGGGGTGTATCAGTGCTTCCTTAGCAATGACTGGGACTCGGCGCAGGACTCGGTGCAGCTCGTTCTGGGAGGTAAGGCGTTCATGCGTGTAATGAAATTTTAATGTGCTGGAAGTTATGTGAAGAAAGTGACGGAATTCAAAATGAAGATATCGACTGTAAAATTGGATTACAGTGAATTATCAGCATAAATAGTTTAAAAAGACGAAACTCTCGGGAGGAGAGAGCAGGAGGAAATGCATGCAATTCCGTCGTTTTGGTCCGAGATTGCTTTTAAACGTCTGACGAGGCAGCTTTTCGAGAGCAATTTAAGAAAATAAAGACCCTGTCTCCACTGTTGGACAGGCCTGATCGAAAAGGGAAAATTTCGCTCTGTTGTGTCAACATTAAGAAAATGTTGATTTTTCAACGTAACAATGTTGCGCCAATGTTGAAAGGAAACATAGTTCAACGTTGAAGAGTTGCTGTTGCGTAACGTTTCGTCAACGTTTTGACATTACAGTACCTCTTACCCATTGTCTGAAAGAGCGTTAATGCCAATACGATGATCCCACGAAGGGCTCCCAAGTGACATGACACATGTACTCTTTTGAGTACAATCATCCCACGAAAGAGAACCCTCAGAGTTGAGAGATGTGGAGATTTTGGGAAAATTAAGCATGTCTCCTCGGACCCACTGGCCAGAAGTACTTTGAGTCTCCTGCCGGGGTTACCTCCTTAGACAGGTTTATCTAGAAATTCCTACGCCTTTCCTTTAGTTGTACATGGGAAAAGATCGGGTACAGTATGAGAAATGCAGGGCACCAGGGTAAGAATCGCTGAATCGGCGGTTATGCGCCATCTCGCGTCGATTCGTAGAACCTATTTTCTGCTGATGTGGATAACTCCACGTTGGAACAACAGTGTAACCATGATGAAAAACGAATTTGCGCTTAATGGCCTCCGAACGACTTCGCAAATCCACAAGTAGTCGCCATGTGCTGAAAATACGGTTAATAACGAATAGCCGGCAATTCATTGGTGTTGATTCTTCGTCGAATTCCAACCAAGTCTCAACGTTTCAACCTTTTCTCAATACTGGCATAACGTTGTTGCGACAAATGAGAAGACTTCACTCGCCCCCCACTAGATGTCTCTCCCCACAACTTCACGCATATTAACTGGATAATCGACTGGAAGGAATCCACCCTCTCTTTCTCACGACCGAGACTCCGAAGCTCCCATACAGTGCTTATCGAATGAATTCACCCCCCTCTTACTATGGGCTCCTATGACTCGCCATGCTTTTCTATGACGCATCTGAGGATGCTGTAACTGCTA